TTGGGCTGCAAGCCTGGGGACAGAGGGGGGGAAAAGAAGGCCACAAGCGGTCACAGGTCTGTAGGAAACCAGTCCGCACCAGTTCCTCTATTCACGGAACGGTTTTGTATCCCGATAGCTTGCTAGCGGCCTGATCCATCACTTGGAAGACAGGCACTTTGTCCAGAGTCCATAAATAGACAAAGTAAATAACAATTGAGGAGCACGCTGAGGCTGAGAGGTGGAGTGGCTCCAGGTGACAAGTCCCAAACCGCAGCCTTCGTGCACAAGAACGCAGATTCGGGGTTTGGCGGAACAGGGGGGTGGAGGGTGGGGGGTGCGGTGAGCCTGGCTGGCTCTGGCACAGAGCAGCACGTGGTGACGCTTCTCTGTCTCTCAGACATTGCCAGTTAATTAGTGAAATATTAGAACTAGTTTACATTTTGCGATTGGCTAACAACATTTAATTTTGGGCTTATTTTTCCACAAAAGGCTACTGCGCTGAAAATGGGAGCGTGAGCTACAGAGTGCCAACGCGTCCCGAGAAGATCTGAGGTGGAGGTTGTGAAGCGAGGGTGACCCTCTCCGCTCCTAGAGCCCATGGTGGGCCTCACCGCAGGTGACCGTGCGGTGGACGGGCTCCCAGTGTCCCGAACTGGTGTCGTTGCAGTCCAGAAGGAGCGCGTGAATTCCTAATTCAGGAGCCGGGATGCAGATGTTAACGCCCGAACCTCCGATTTTTGTGGAACGAACTCTGGCCCTCATCAAACCGGACGTCGTCGACAAAGAAGAAGAAATAGAGGACATCATTCTCCGATCGGGATTCCTGATCGTTCAGGTAACGGGCTGCGCTCTGGAGACAATAACTGCACTTTAGAAGGCAGAACAATATTTATCTTAACTTTCAGCAGTCAAGCCGGTAGCTAAAGGCCAGCGTGTCCAAAAATCAATTGGTATTTTTCACATCATCAACCACGGCTGCCAGATTCCCTAAGGATATATTCAGTTGGTGCATGGGATGGAACGGAACGCACCGACTGTTTCGCTGGCCACAGGAAAACACAGACTTTGTTAATTGACTCGGGTTTAGCAAACATATCTAGCAGATACGTGGGCTCTCCGAAGCACCTCTTCGGCGAGCGTATCGGTGTGGTAGCGCAGGGTTTCATACAGCACGCGGTTGCCAAGTGGCTGCTTAGAGAATTAATTTTTAATTAGATAGCTCTCGCGGTCTCCACTGTTTTTAATGTGAATAGGCTTTATGGATATTGAAATGTATTAGAAATGTTCCTTTTAAATAGGCCTTACCGAGCTTGTCCTTTTACCATTTGGCCCTGGCGTGGTGGCCACGGTGCTGTGCGCTGCAGGCAGACTCTGTGCTGCCCGAAAGGCTCTGGAGCGTGGTGTTCAGCAGCGGCCACCGGTACCCGGGCAGAAACGCGTTCTCTCGGGCCTCTGCCTGCAGCCGC